TGCACACTCAAGACTGCTTATTAATCCAGAGCAGTGTAGTGCGAGTGACCAAATTTGTTAGAAATTCGTATTAAATGAAATAAATAATATGTTGGTGAATGTAAATGCTTAGTAAGTATCTACTACACCTTTGAAAATTTTTTATTTTGCAAGTTATTATTCATACATGATTCGAGACTTTAGTGGATAATTTGTCTAAAATAAATAAAATTGAATAGCTCAAAGTTTAATATTTCTGTTCTGAGTATCCTAGATTAGTTTCAACAATATTTATAATTCTCAGTCAATTTTATATTTTAAAAAATATAGCATAAGTCGCCTTCTGTAATTAACGCTATGGTTGACAACAAAATTATCCACATCACAATGTGGGCAGAGAATTAAGTGTAAGAAAATGTTCATATCATATTTTAGGTATATTATTGAATTTTATTTATCCATAGAAAATGAGATCCGATAATCTCGGCTCGTCTTAACTTTCGGGCTCGCGTAAAGAGACACGGTCGGTCTTGCGCTTGCGTTGCGCGCTGCGCGTGAACTTGGCGCGAGACACTACCGTGTCTCTTGATTATTGACGTTACTAACAACTATAAAATCTTCTTATTTAAAATAATTGTTGTTACCGTTTCTGATGTCACATTCTTTACTATGATTATCTTTAAAACTATGTGAGAAATTTATATTTTGTTTTTTTTTTATTTTATTTGCTATAGATTGCACATTAAAAAGTTATTATAAAATATCAATTCAAATATTTTGTTTTAAAATGGTGATACACGCTTATTTATTGAGCCTTAGCTTGTTCTAGGTGCTATTTATTAATATATTTTACATGTGTTTGTCGTATATCTTACATCTAATTGTCGAACGTTTCGGCACCTTTTTTTGGGCCTTCTTCAGCGAATCTAATTTTTGTTGCGTCTCTTAGTCAAAATTTAAACTGGTTGTTTTTTTTTTTTTGGTGTAGGTCTCTTTTGTCCATTTTTACGAACTTTTTGTCCACCCCTTGCTTTTTCCTCGTGTGTCAGACATGGCAACTTAATTCTTCTGACTGTCTGGATTGATTTTTATTGTTACTGTAGTAACGATCTCTCAAGACAAGACGACTCAGTAAGAAACGAACAACACCAAAGTAACAAGTCACAATAAAAATCAATCCAGACAGTCAGAAGAATTAAGTTGCCATGTCTGACACACGAGGAAAAAGCAAGGGGTGGACAAAAAGTTCGTAAAAATGGACAAAAGAGACCTACACCAAAAAAAAAACAAAACACCAGTTAAATTTGACTAAGAGACGCAACAAAAATTAGATTCGCTGAAGAAGGCCCAAAAAAAAGGTGCCGAAACGTTCGACAATTAGATGTAAGATATACGACAAACACATGTAAAATATATTAATAAATAGCACCTAGAACAAGCTAAGGCTCAATAAATAAGCGTGTATCACCATTTTAAAGTTTAATTGAAAAACTGAGCCTAAATTAAAAAATTACTTTT